TGGGCTTGAAGCAATGCAAGATGTAGTGCATAGGCAGCAACGTCAGCAAGTCAAGTCACAAAAGAATCACGGACACAACACTATTGAAAGTTGTCAGGCTCTTCAGGGGATCCCGTGGCCTTCGCGCTGCACCAGGTGGGGTGGCTGGTGATTGGGACCAGCAGGGGTTCGCCGGAACACTCGAGGCGCGTTTGACCCCCCGATGCAAAGAACAAGGACCGACATAGGCCTCGACATGCCGGGGCGCCGCGTCGCGATGATGGTCTTGGTCCCCGGCGCTTTTCTGGGCTGACGCCGGCTGGGATGGCTGACGGCATCTGTGATTGGGTTTGTGGCGTGGTAGCCAATGTGGTGTGCCAATTGGGAAGGGCCCCTGCTTTCGCTGCGTTTTGCAGTCGGTTTAGCAGGGTGGGGTCTCGCAACGGCGGTCACCCCACCAGCGCCATCGCCTGCCCGTTCCTGGCGCAGGGCCTTGGGGCGCCCTTGGCAGGGACCACGCCGGAACATGCTCTGGCCGGCGTGGGAGCAGGTTGACTCAATCCAGCAGCCAGGGCGGCTTTGATTCCTCAACCGCATCTTTAATTGGGCCTCGCGGCATCAGTCGCAGTCAGGCGGTCCTGCACTGGAAGTCCCAACGGCAGCCAGTCGTCCACGCAGCCTTTTGCAGGCGTCCTTCCAAATTCTCCCTTTACGGCAACCACCCTGGACCTACTGTCCCCGTTGATGCGCGAATCGCAGGGAATGCGGTTTGGCCCAAACAGGGCGACGTGGCCCAACACCAGCCGCTGATGTCCCTTGCCACCACCCGCGCCTTGCTCATTTATGTTGAGGTTTAGGGGTGGTTACTAACACCGGATCATGGATGCTAACGTGGTTTCGACCCCCCAAAGGTGCGAATCGATACTAATAGGGGTTGGATATTAACACCGGGTAAATACGGTATTTACAGTCTGTATGTGCACGGGGCTGTTTACGTTGTATTTACGTATTTTTACGCCTTTTTACGCATAAGAACGTAAAAAATATTTTACGCGCAAAAACGTTAACACGATCAGTTTCTGCAGTGCAAATAACAATCCTGGCACAAATGCCTGTAACAGGTTGTGACGCACAAGTCATCGTTGCGTTCAATCGATAATGTCACTTCCCCAAAAATTACCCTTTGGGGAAAATAGTGGCACATGGCTATGTCAGAATGTGCTAAGTCTTGTGCCACTCTTCAACTAGATGTTTTTTTCCTTATCTTACTAATGCCAAGGATTCGTGATCATGGGTAAGCGCGTGCGGCCACTTTGGAGGTGTATCCGATACCTATCATTTTTAGATGCGAAGATCATGAAAGGGGCGCGAAACTCAATAAAAAGATTGCAAGGCCTTTACAGCCTTAAATTCCGAACCGAAAACGACTACCATGATATCAATCCCTGGAAACGAAAGGTATCGGATGTTCGTGTCACCTTGCTGGCTTGAGGAGACCCGGAGTCTATTTCTGTCGTGATGCTCTTCTTGGCTTTAGCTTCGTTCAGCATCTGCTGTACCAGGCTAGCCTGGTACGTGCGCAGGCGTTCTTTCGGCTTCGGCGGCTGTCTTTGTGAGAAAGAAAATACCAGTAGGATCTCAAACACCGTCCAAGGATTTTGAAATATGCTATTGTTAAGTTCTGAACACAATGTTGAAGCATGCACTATGACTTCTAGTTCTTGTAAATGTTCAACACCCTAGACCGCATCAATACGTTTCAGGCAGTGAAAATCTTTCGAAAGAATTCATATTTAGCATCATTGTGAAGTTTTGAAGGCGCCGCCCCTTGTTCAATTTTTTTGCCCGAGATTCTCTGTAGATTGGCAATGCAGACTGCAAAATTGATGAATTGAAACAATATACGACCTTTTTCTGATCCTGATAGTCGTGTATTTAAGATTTGTATCGCATTTCAAAGAGTAAGGCATTTTGATGCGTACTGTGTGCGATGAAATCTTGCATTGGGGTAAATGCAACTGGCCGTCCTCTGCGCGAATATTAAAAGACGTATGCAAATATGTAAAACAATGGCATATGAACCAAAGGAAGCTTCAAGCTCCGAGCTCAAAATTCCAAACTCCTATAATACTTCCTTTATCAGGTAGCCGCAGCTTATCTACTGTCACACATTGCCGCCATTGCCCAACCACCTCGCCGCCTATCGTGACTCTATGTACTGGCTACCGGGAGGGTAAGGCACTCGCTTTTTCGCAGCCATCCTGGATTCCTTTGCCCCCAGATTTGGTCGTTCAGGAGTGTCCGGGCACCACTTGCCGCAAGGGAAGCACTAGTCCACCCACGGTTGACTTTCCTTTGTGCGCTTTTGACCCGCCACTCCCAGGAAGGACGTCAGTACGAGATGTTCACTGACATACACGGAGGAACATTAAAAATTCCGTTGTTGGTGTCGATGGTCAGTGCATCCTAACTTTTAATCAATTCAAGAGGTATTACATGTCAAGGCAAGGTCGCAAACGCCGGGTACCTATTTGGCCTAGGAACTTGCACACTCCAAACCGCAAGGTAACGCTGAACCTTTCAGTCTCGAGCAATACTGAAAACGCAACGGCATTCTAGGAAACGCGGAGCTGGCAGTAAATGACCCCCTGGTTATCTCCAAGCGTGGATGGGTCATAGAAGTCCGCGCTTCCACTGAAGGACTGAACAATGCTCAAAAATATCTAAAAGCCATACCTGATGTAGCTGAAACTGCCCATGCGCCGCCGTGAGGACTTCTGGACTGCTCATGGCGTGGCCGCATGCTCATAAGTCACAGGCCGTAAGCACCTTACGCTGCCCTGAGAAGAAGGCACTTGCGGCAGTGGATACTGGGAGAAGTTGGCGTTCCGCGGTGCCCAAGAGGAATAGCCAGAGAACGTGTCTTGCCACACGGCAAAGACTCCCCCACTGCTGTTTGCGTCTTGGGCGCACTTAACAAAGGGGCATTTTTCAGGTAGTGCTTCAACAAGACGAAGCACCAAAACGGATATTGGCGGCAATTCCTGTCTATTTGGCTGTTTTGCCTTCAAGCCAGTCAAACTGCATTTATGTAGCGCCCGGTTTGCGCAGGAGCCGACAAATTTAAAGGCCTTCAAATTTGATGGTTGTAGGATGGGCATTTCTTTGCTGCACTTGACCTCGCGAGCGCCTCCAACCCCATTAACACCAAGAGAGATCGACATTTTTGCGATGCAAACTGCGATGCCATTTGATACCAATTGATGCCATTGCACCTAATTTTCTGCAATCGCAATCACTGTGATGGCGCCATTTTGTGGCAAAATGGCGTCGCAGTTGGCATCGCCAATATGGCGTGTTTCTTGTAGTGTAACAGATGTTCGACACCAAGCGTTGGATCTGGCGGTGCTTTCCCGCCCGCGCTTGGTATCCTGTCCCCTCGCGATCCGTGATCAACTGCCGCCCATATCTCCCTGCCCATGAGTCATCGAAATTTCCATGCCGAGCGAAAGCACTCCATGCCTTGTGCTCGGAAGGCTTTTGTGTCCACTTCGCGCGCAGCATACACTAGTGAAAATGGCCAATTCTGGAACGCCAGCTGACCATATATTGCCAATTTGTATAAATGACGCCTACTGGGACGCCACCGCAGCTCTTCCTTGGATGCCAGTGCTTGAAGAAGTGTCTCAGTGGCGCCCCAGCAAGCTTCATTTAATATCAATTGGCGTCCAAGAAATGGCCTTTTCCGCTAGTGATAATGAAAGAGATCTCAGCACAAGGAAGCGTGACACTGTTTCGATAGAGCGCCAGCAGAGTTGTCCAGCCACAACTATCGCAACTGGTGCAGCATGGCAAGAACGCAGTGGAAGCGCAAAGTTGGGATGAGGGTGAACGACGTGCCGCTTCACATATTCCAGCCCCAGGACCGAGAGGGGAAAACAATCGGGAATCGACAACCTACGCCAGCAACAAACCCTGTCAACATTCCAGACTTTGCGTTCCTGCAACTCCCACAACGCTGGGCAAACGGCGCGCAGGCTGGAGTCTGCTGCCATGCGAAGTCGGAAAGAATCTGAGCATCCTGGATATGCATATTCAGAATACGGCCATATTTAGGATATGGCCGTAGTGCAGTGGTAGAAAGGGGCGCAGGACGCCACGTGTGCGATTCCGCTCCTCCCGAGGGCGCGGATTTGGGGTGTAGGGGAATGTGCGGGACGTCGTATGCCCGTTCCAAGACCGAAAATTCTGCAGGATGTAGGAGCCAATGTCCCGGGATACGGTCACATCCTTGCGCATGTCCAGGATATGGATGCCTCACATCCTGGATATGGGAAGCCCATGTGCAGCGTATGAAATATCCTGGCTATGTATATCCAGGATATGGGAACGCCCATGTTCTTTTACATTCCATGATATGGGACTTCTTTGGCAACTGAGTTGCTCAGTAGTTCAACCACCACTGGGCCACAGGACCGCATCAAACCAGCCCATCAAAGCCGATTATTTAGAAGGCGGAAGATTGCAGCCTCCTTTGCTGAGAAGCGACGCCACATTCTCGCCATGTGGAAAGATCCAAAAAGGTACATATACAAATTGAGGTTCAACTGGTATTCGCAAATCAGAATCAACTTTCAAACCATTAAATCCTGCAAGTTGCAGTCGAACTTGAATTATGCACTCGCTGCACGCTTGAAACCCTCCTGTGACTACTGCGCAAACCCAGCGCGTGACGCGCCGTCCCAGCTCCAACGAATTTCTCCCAACCTGCCGCTGATCCGCCGGAAACGACGAGCAATTCATCGCCGACGCACAGGAGCGACGGAAAGCCGCCAGTCGCCCCCCCGCCCCGGCCTCTGGCGCCTCCCCCTGTTGGCCTTTCCGTCCATGAATTTTCACGACCCAACAAGGCCGCTGGCGTCCCCAAAGAACCCACACGACATTCTTGAAAACGCGACAGGCCCGCACCGGCCTCCGCAAATGGTGGCCCCGCACCAAACACTCCCAGACTTGAGCTTCTCTCAGCTGCTGGAACGTCCCCAACGCCGGAGCAGGCCCCAATTTCGCGGCACCCGCCACCGGCTCCACCACGGGCGCAAATAGCACACCGCGCAGGCGGCGAAGGCTGCCATGAGGGCAACTTGCAGCAGGCACACGACCGCGGCCAAGGTGACCTTGCCTCCCTCCGACGCGTTAGCGTCGTTGAACACCAGGCCCGAGTGGAAGGTGACGACGGACACCGCCAGAGAAGCGGCCTCCAGGCGGTTGAAGCAGTCGTCGCGGTAGGGCTGGGCCGCGAGGTGCAGCACGAGGGCCGCAAAGACGACCAGCAGGGCCACCGCCGCCTGCAGGCTGCCGCCCAGGCGGTAGGCGAACACCACCACCAGCGCGATGGCCACCTTCCTTAGCGTGATGACCAACTCCCAGTACGCCCTCCACACCGAGGCGGGTGACCCTTTGCTCTGCTGCTTGGCGTCTGCCCTCGCCTCGCTGGCGCCTTCGTCTGCTGATGATCCGACGACAGTCGCACACTGTGCACATCTGGAAGAAGGGCCCGTACTCGGCCCTGATGGAGTGTCGACCAATTTGTAGTTCTGGAAGAAGAACCCGTACTCCTTCCTAATGTCGGGTGCGAATTCCCCCTTGTTCCTTCTCCAGCGCATCGTCAGGAACGCGACCAGTCCCAGGGGGACCGCCGCAGTGAAGAGCAGGAGTCCTGGTACGCCCAAGAGTCCGACCAACCACCAGCGGCTCTTTTCAAAACACTTCAGCTCGGTGTCCTCCGCCCAGTACCTGTCATAGGCCAGGCAGCGGGCATCAGAAACCGCCAGCCCGAACGTGACAAACACAGCCGGGCCACCAAACAGGCAATCCTGGGAAAATTGTCTTCAGATAGCAACCGGGACGCTTACTTTCACTGTCACAGACTTCAACGGATTCGGGATGCAAATTTTCCTACAGTATGCGAACTATATACATCGTGGGATATGTGAGGAACGCGTGAAGAGATATACTGACATGTTGGAAGAGCGCCTAATTGAGCAACTATCTGTCGGGAACCAGTAAAATTGAGTACCTGTCTGTCGCCACCGAAAATCTGCCCTGCACATCTTCGGTCTCCCCGACGTCGACCCGCACACAGTTCAGCGTTCGAAGCAGCTCTTCGGTGACGCTGTGGTAGGAGAAGAAGAAGACGACGAGGGTGATGGTGGTGGCGCTGGGAAGCCAGCCCTGACACAGCCGCCCGTGCTGTTTGTCCCCGTCCAGTAGACGTCGAGCGAGGAGGAGAATGGCAAGCAGGGGGACAATGGGAAAGACGATGCGCAGGAAGAGAGCGAGGATGGACACGACGGCGCTCCTGCTGTTGGTAGGCCACAGGCAGTCGATGGACACTATTGTGGATGCGTTGGAGAAGGCTACCACGACGTCTTCAGGCACAGCACAGAAGTCGTCGGCAAACTGTATGAAGGAGACTCTCCCTGATTCATTGGTCCGAGACCAATGCCATTACGCACATGCCTCAATTTGCTGCACATGCTCTGCACATCTCGCCTGCCAATCCGTACGTAATATGTGTGTGCGCGTTCGAGGAGTGGGTACTGACGAACACGCTGGTCGCGCTCGAGCCTGTGTCAAAATTTGTCGCTAATGCGACGTCAACCGATAGTCGAGATTTCGGACAATATGAGCGTCTGTTGCGTTGACGTCGGCGTTCTTCATCAAGAACACGTGTCAAAAGCAGGGGCCTTTTGTGCATTGGGGGACATCAACAGACGCAACTTCTGTCCAAAAGCCAGAAGCAGCAGCGCCCATTTCACACCCGCCAAGGCGCCGTGAGAAATCTTCATGAGATGTCATGCACAGTGAAATCGTGCGCCATTGACATGTCAATTTCGATGCAAGTGGAAGGCTTGATGGACCCCAATTTGAAGTCATCAACACGGTGGTGTGCCTTCAGCCGCGGTCATATCAATGCGCAGCGGACGTCAAGGTGCGCCTGGTGCTGTGCGGGGACCGGGTCTCACCCCAAGCTCTCAGCAGTTGCTCCACCGCCGAGTTCCAGCGCACACGAATCACGACACCACTGCTGGTCACCTGCAAGAAGTTGAAGGCGATCTGCGTAGCCAAAGAATTGTGTCAAAGACGCTCCCACCGGCAACAAAAGTGCATCTGAACGCCATGCGATAAAACGAGCAATGGGCGCGGAGGAAAATGTGCGCACGTCAAACCGAACGGCTGCCTCGGGGATGGACACGCATCTGCCCTGTTCCGCTATTTAAATGTTGCGGTGGTAGGCGTGGAGCACACTTGGCCATTACTGAAGTTTGTCCAAACCGGAATAAGTTGGCCATACTGGCCACAAACGAAGTTTGGAACGAATTTTATTGCTGAAGTTTGGCCAAACTCGTCTTGCACAACTGCCACTGCGACATTTCGAATAGCATGCACGTGCACAACATCCCGCCATTGCGCTCCCGAACGGCAGCTGTGCATCAATGTGCGTATGCTGACATCACCATGGAAACACACAACCGCATGACGCAAGAACACAATGCGGCGATAGAATCCCACATTCATGCGACAACAGTGCAAAGACTCTTGCAAATCAAGCCTCTTGTTCAGATAGCAACGGAGGACCACGGTTGACTCAAAATTACGTGTCTACCATTGATTCGATCAGCCACAAATGATGAACACCCTGTGCACTGTGACGTCACTGTCCCCGCTTCCAATTCCCAATTCCAATACCGTAGGACAAGCCCCACCTTCAGTGTCTCCACAACATTCTCAGCGCACTCCCTGAGTCTGTGCGCATCTCCTTGTGTTGGTCCATCGGCAACGGGCGGCAGCGGGGGCGGCGCTGGAGCAGCCATCTGCACTACGTTGGACACGGCTACCAGCTCTACTTCTGGGGTTTCTGAGCGCAAGGACGACCCTGAAGCACCTCCCAGTGGTGTGCGCAGTCCATTCGCTGCACTTTCCGACTCCTCCTTGTCAGCAATGTCAGAAGGCTCCCATTTAGCCCAGAAAAGTTCCCAAGCAACAAAAAGCAGACTCCAGAAGAGCACAAAAACCAGAAGGCCGACTGTCTTGCCTCCGCCATTGCACTTTCGGCACTCCCCGTTGGCGAAGTGCCCGAATCCGCTATCGCAGGAGCCGCACAGGACACCTCTGTAACCCTGAGGGGAAAGCAGAATAAGTCAATGACCAAAGTTCTTACGCTTTGTCCCTTTGAATAACAGATACATAAGAGACATGCAAATGGTAAGGCATATGCACTGGTGGCACCTGCGGAATGCACTGCTTTTCATTGCATCCCCCATCTCAAGCCCCAGCAAAGCGGTGGGGTTGCATTACGTGAGCAAATATTGTCGTCGCAGCAATGCATTGACTCAGCAAGTGCGCCCGTGGGTTCATTTCGCTTGAAACTGCATTGGAGTCCAGTCGGCACAAGAACAGGCACGATAGACTTTGTGGGCGCCACTCATATTCGCCAAGGTCCCCCCCGCCCTTCAACTCCTGCTGGTCCTCTGTACACACACGCCTTGCAAACGTTCTCGCTCGCTCACAGAGGGAAACTTTGGTTCCTAATACAAATATGGATTGTGGATTAGAGAAATGGCAGGCAACGGCCTTGCTGCCAAAAACAGGCCTCAAGGCACCGAGTGGCAAGCTCAGGGGTGACAACATGTCTAATTTAGTACGCTTACCGTCCAGCTAACTTGAGTGAAGGGGAAAATCAGCGTCGGTTTGATGTTCAGCAGGCCAAAATCGACCTTGTGCCACCCCCTACCACCTGCATGGACTGAGTACAGTGGTTCTTGAGTTACCATTACACACCACCTACACAGACGGCAAAGCAGCCACTAACCACGAACATACCAAAAATTGGCCATTTAGAATCATTAACTTCCAGGCTCGTTTCCTACTGAATCGCTCAAAATGCCGAAATGGCACAGCTGCGGTGGTGCCAATTACAATCGCGCCACATGCACGCACGAACGCACGCACGCATCCTGGACATGAGGTGACGCGTGAAATTACCTCGTTGTAGGTGGGAAGGGCACGCTGGGAAAGTGTTACGTCTGGTGATACGAATGGGACATGGGATTTCATTTGGTAATTGTAAAGTATAGACGGAGGGCTGCCACCTTTGGGTAGGTTCGCGAACCCTCGAAGAAGAGAACAATATCTGTCATTGGAGGCTGGAGGTGTAACGATTGCTTGCTCCTGCCACGACGGGCGAGAGCATGGGAGATTTGGCGTGACCTCCCCACTCCCGTTTGCGCGTTGCGAGGAACCCATTGACGCCACGAGAATTAACAAAAGGCGCTTGTCTTAATGTTCTTTCATTTAAGGATGCATTCATATTCACACACAATGCGCGGACATCGCCCGTGCACCTGACCTTAGCGCACTGCGGATAGGCGTCGTTGGACACCGGCCCGCCGACGACGTCTTCCTCTGTCAAACTCGTGAAGAACCCCCCCAGGCGCTCCTCCCTCCCGCCCTCCTGGCCGCCCTCGTACGCGCACGCCTCCCTGATGATGCACTCGTGGAACTGCACCGAGAAGGGGCCCGAGTGCCAGTACCCGTCCTTCGGGAAGGAAGCCGCGCCGCCCGGGCAGGCCGCATTGATGTCACAAGGCCTGCACGGGCTGGACGGAAACACGCTGAATTGGCCCGCGCTGCAGTTCTCGCAGGCAAGACCTGTGACCTGCCTTCCCGAGCTGTAGTCCACCACGCTGACGTTGAGAGACACCTCCCCAGGGCGGCAGGGGCGTATGGACAGCGGGCGCTCCACGATCCGGTTGACGCTGTCCGCCGACAGCTGCAGGGTGTAGGTGGCGTTGGGGCCGTTGACGACGATGGCGTCGAACCGCACGACGCCCCGGACTGCCGCGGCGATGCGCTGCCCGGAGACGCAGTCGAAGTCGATGAAGCAGGGGACGGACGCGGTGACCCTGGTTTCTGGGCGGGATGGAGACAGTCGGAAGTTAGCGATATACGGTGCGATACGCTTAGTTGCAAATTAGCGATAGACACCTGGTGTGTATGACGGTGGGCGCTGGCGCATGGTGATCCATGGGGTTTTTTGTGCGATGAAGCGCAGTGGCGATCGGCCCAATGGTCCGCTTGGCACCGTGGTCTGTTCGCTGTGAGTGCTGCCCAGCTGTTGCCGCACTGCCAATGCCAGACCCAAGCACCAAAATGTGCGAAAACGACTAGAGCAATCCTACAGAGCACTACATGCTAAAAGGCGAAAAGCGCAGGAAGGCCAAAAAGACATACAGCAAAATGTTGAAAAGCGCAAGAAGACTGAGCACAATACGTGCCGAAAGGTCGAAAACCTACCAGAAGGCCAACTACAGGCTCAACATGAAGGCTACAATGTTGGTGTCTTGTCGTCAACCCACCAGAGTCAGCAATTCCTGCTGTGATGAGCTGTCCGAATGCATCCGCAACATCCATGGTGATGGGGGGCAGGTTCCTGCCGGCGAGGTGGTTTTCGACAATGAACCCGCCGGGGGTCACGGCCGATGTAATGTTCAAGTCGTGGGCTCGCGAGGCGAAGTTGGCACCGTAACCGCCTTCGCCAACAAAATTCCCCTTGGGAAGGTCGTCGAGCGAATAGGCGGACATCTGCTTGAAGTCGACCTGGGGCGGTGCAAGGGCAACATGGACGGCGACAAGGCGTCACAAGACGGCGTAACCACGTGGCAAAGGGACGAATAACTGCTCGGCGTTGAAGAGGTGTGCTAGATTGCACGGTTGAATTGTCGAGTCAACAACTCCGTTGCATGCGCTCAGTCGTACCTCCAACTCCATCCACACATTGCCTGGGTACGTGGCGAAGACAGCCCCGCCAGCCGACATGGCAGTGTTGTTCTCGAATGCGCACTTGTCAAAACCCAGCTCTCGGCAGTGCTCGGCGATGAGAGGCTTGGCCGCCAGCTGCCCTTCGCTGCAGCTCCGCGGAGCTGACCACACAGAACTGTTGTCCGGAGCCAAGAACGCTGCACCTGTGAGAGAACAGAGCAGTTTGATATGATTGGCAGTGTAGGGCAATGTGAACGGCGGGGTATTGGCAGCACTTCGCTTGGAAACGAAATCGCCATCTATTGCTCGTTAGAGAGCAAGGCAAAGACGACTAATGCAAAGACACTGCGCCCAGCTAAGGGTGCATCGGAAAGCACTTTCAAGCACATTGGATCCCAGTGAAACTACTCTGCAGGGTAGACGGCAGTGTCGCTGCTTGTGTTTGGAAAATCCGCACTGTGCGAAACGAATTCTATAACCTGTTTGTTACAAACTTGAACCGTTCAAGTAATGTAGCGTTTTGAGAAGGTTTTGCAGTCATTCTGAGGCCATATATGGGAAGGGTAGTTGGGAACAAGACATCATGTGCGCAGGCACTGCCCTTCAACACCCTGTTACTAACAATGCACTGGTGGTACCTGCTACCAGATACCTTCCCTGCCACGCTGGTAGGCGTGATTTGTGGGTGCCAAAAGCCATGAGCAACAAATGCACTCGAGCATTGGCATTATTTTCCACTGATTCACTTCATGATTGCTGCTGCAACCACCCTCGCTTTCCAAAATCTCGTCTTCTCTGCCATAGCAGCCCGGGTCGATAACTCGGCACCACATTGGACACTCACCCCCAACGTTGGCCTGGTTGCCCTTAAACACGACTTCAAAGAAGTCCACAGACACCTCGGCGGTTTCAGGAACCTGCGCAAGAGAGACGCACACAGCGCCACCGCTGCCCATGGTGCATGGCTCCCCATTGGCGAGCTCATTTAGCCCTTCCTCGTTCCCTCTGCCCATTCCCATCTGTTTTGGCTCTGCACGGAATTCCCTCACCGGAATCACGACCCTTTCGTGGCCAACATCATTGGGGTTGGTCGATGCCTTATTGCCAAGAAACTGCGCTGATACCACCTTGACCACATTCTGCAATCCGTTTTCCGCCCTGGTACAGATGGCCCCTCCCACCAGGGCCAGGTTATTTATAAAGGTGGTTGGCTTCCGAAGGCCTGATGGGCGAATTAACAGTCCTGCCCCACCATTGGTGTATATCGCCCCGCCCCTCTGGGCTATGTTTGCAAAGAATGTGCAGCCTTGAAAGTCCAAGTTGCCATTTGGGAGAGAGTCCACAGCAGCCACGGCTCCGCCATCCCTCTTTGCCCTGTTGTTGTTGAAGTCGCAGGATTGCAGAAGCGCTGAGCCTACATCACAACAACTCAAGTGGCTGAGGACCCAATGCGAGCAGGGAAATGCGAGCCTTGCTTGTGAATTCACAAGCACAGTAACAACTCCAACTGTCAGCCTTTAGGATCTTGCACTGTTCGCATGATTACTTGCATCAATTCCTCTTGTAAGGGGGTAGTCAGAATATAACACCCAGCAATGAGAGCCTGTGATGCTTTGGATACAGGGTCACTACTCTGTGTATTCTGCAGGGTGGACCCACACCGCCCAACGCAACAGACGATTTGCGGACACTTTTCACGACTAACCTGCCGTCAGGAAAAACAAGGCTCCACCGTAAAATGCATGGTTGTCTTCAAACAAATTGCGGGGCCCCGATTTTTCAATCAGAGTTGCCTCCAGCACAGCTCCGTTGGCCACCAGGAAGGCCCCGCCAACTTGGGCCTTGTTTCCTCGTGCAACAGTTCTGGTGATGCCCACATCATTCACATTCCGTAGTGTCATGGCGCCTCCCCCCCACCAACCAACATTGTCCTCAAACACGTTGCCATCCAGGTCAACTTGGGCTTGTGAGTTTGCGATCAAGCAGAGGCCGCCACCATATGCTGCCCGATTGTTCCGGAACTCATTGTTGGTAAAGCTGTACGTGGTGTCCATCGCCGATGCAGCAAACACGGCGCCCCCCTGTGCGACATGGATGGAATCGCCCTCCAGCTCCCTTGCTTCGTTGCCAACGAAGGTGTTGCGAACCATCTCCACATCCATTCCATTGACAAGGAAGACAGCACCCCCACCCGGCACTGCAATATTGGATAGGAAGTCATTGTTGCGGATCACAACTTGGGAGACGCCCTTGACAAGGATGCCGCCACCAGATTCCTGTGGAACAGGGAAGGGGTACCGCCCAGGCTCCCCGCCCAACGATTCTGGCTCAAAATCAAACTCTTCGCCTCCACGTGTGTCATTGTTTCCCACAAACTCACAATTGCTGACATGCAGCATGGTCGGATGCCTGACAACGTCCTCATTGAGAATGTGGATGCCCCCACCCTTGATGTGGCCCACATTGCTCAAAAAGCGGGTGTTGGTGACAGTCAGATTAGAGCTGGTTGCCCAGATGGCGCCTCCGGTAAGTGCACTGTTATTATCAAACGTGCAGTTGTCGACTGTCAAGTTGACACCAGCATGTACAGCCACACCTCCACCAAATGATGCAGCATTCCAATTGTCATTGAAGGCTGCATTCCTGATGGTTACATTGACTGTGCTGATGCCCTCATCATGGAAGAGTGATTGTCCAACTTCAGGGTTGACTATGTCAACTGCAGTCTTGGTGCACTCCCGCACCACCACATTCTGGAGGACGATATTGTTGCCCCTGGTACCACATGAGCACTTCAGTGCCCCTTCACTCCTCGAACGAGCTATCCTCCATGGTACTCCATGCGTTCAGCAGGTTTGACTCAAGAGCATTTGAAAATGGGACATCTGAATGCCCGCAACCTCTCTCTGTTACACTGCTGGGTGCACACCGTATGGGCCTGTCTTTGGGCAAATTCTTCAGGCCTGTGACTTGCAGTTGAGGCTTGTTACCTTTCCAGCACAGTTTCCCACAGACTGTTGCAAGTTTGGCTTAAGGGATAAACAGCAGGCACATAAATGGGCAAGCCACCTGGTTCTCCTGTGCTGGAGTGATACAACCATAACAGTCTGTTCCAACCCTCCCTGTGAACCTTCATGATCTGTGCTGGAGCAGTCGGATTGCATACCAACCAAATAGGTTGTTCATTTGCTGTACCTACTCTATTGATGGACATGCTGCAACAAGTTGGTGCTGAGGGTGTTGTGTACACAGCTGATTTCATTTTTTAAAGGCTCACCAGTATGCCCACACAGAAATGTGTGGCACGGTGTGTGTTTTGTCGAGTAAGTCAAAAAGTGCCACAGATTTGCAGGGACCTTGTGCCATGGTAGTGGATCACAAACTGGTTTTCAGAGTCAAACATCAATGCATCCATTGACAGGTGGCACCTTATTTCAGCAAACCAAAAAGGCAACCCCAAAACAATTAACCAAGGGGTGAGGGCAGGAAAACAATTGCAGCAATAAGTGCTTCAAGAGGACACCTTAATGGTCACCTCAGTTCAATGCCAGCAGTGGGAGCTCCACACTTAATGGCGGTTCTGCCATTGTTAGAAGCCCCAACAATCGTAATGCGATCAGCCTCAACAGTAAGAACATCCCTCAGTTCCACTGTGTCGATGTCCAAGGATACTGTTGTCCCATTCTGCAAGCCACCCAGGACCACTCCGATGCTGTCCACATTTGTTGCATTGATTACCACTGGTGTGTTCTTGATGTCTTGGAGCAGGCGCCTCTCTACAAGACAAGCATGTTGAAGGTGTGACAACTGTAGGATATTGGGCATGCCATCGGACAATTATGGCACTGTGACTGCAGCAGCATGCATGGGGGGTGCTTCAATAGTCTTTTGAGATGCTGCAAATGTTAAATCGACAAGGAGAGACTGCGAAATACTGCTTTAGCATCACAGGAGCTCTTGCTCAAAAAATGCTTGTGAATGCTATGCATTTCAAATGCATAGGCAACAAACTAGCAAGGCTACAGCCCATGATTGTCAAACGGGACCAAGCAAAGAAAAGCTTGCACTGCCCGCATGACAAGCATGTTGACTTCTTACGATTGCTTCCGGAAAGTGCTGTTGCATTTGCTTGCAACTGGGAAGGAATCCTCAGCACACGGGGTCCATCAAGCATGTCCCAACTGTGGTGACCGATCCAATTTGTCGTTTTCCTCGCCATCCTGTAATTAGTCGATGAGAAATTTCACGTTGTCACTTTTGTAAGGAGTACAACTTTGCAAATAGCACACACAAGTCACTGCCCTTACATGCATTGGGGGTCATCAAGAGTTTGTATCATTCAAAACAAAGTCCAAAGAGCCAAAAATTTCCATTCGGGGTGCTCCTCGATTTGCAAGCTTCTTCAGCAAGACCTTTTGGCCGTTCAGTTGCCTTATGAGACAAAGAATTCCCACTCCATCAACATCGAGTTGGAGAACTGGGAATACCTTCGTCTTGTTTTGTTCCATGATGGAAGCAAGGGGATCGATACCTCCAACAAGGACGCAGCACAACACTTCTGCGGTGCCTCCACCTGCACCACTACTATGGATGCCGCTATCAGGTCAGAGTGTTTTCAACTGCATGTGGGCGGCCTGCAAGCAGCGGCTGAGCATCGGTTTTGCCGCTACCTCGCCTGCCTGCCTCCAAACTAAATGTGCGTCCTTTTGATGGTTGCTGAAGATCCCCACCTGACCAACTTCAGTGCCGACGCAACCAACGGCGGCGAGGGGCCGCGCAAGTGACGATTGAACAGGTGCGGAAGGCGAGCCCAAGTGGGGGCAAGAATGTTGGGAATGTTAATGGTCGGCGCACAACCAAGCGGCTTCCACTGCGCGGCGACGGGGATTCGATCGAACAGGCTCCGAAAGATGCCTCCGCGGTGGCACCCAGTTCTCCACTTTCAGCGAGGATCCACGCGACGACGCACAGCCCGGCGGCTATGTCGTCACGCAAGTGGGACTGACGACCGCAAGACGTCATGTTGAGCAGGTGGGCGCCCGCGGTGCGCGGCACAGCCACTGTGGCTTAAATGAGCAGCACCCACAACCGAACGCGGCTCCAAACAGTCTCGAAATCGATCTGTGCCAAAACCGGGCCCCGCTTCGAGCGCAGACCGGCGCATGCGTAGAGTTGTCACCACCCTGAGTAGCAGACGCGCAGCAGCCGTGACGCGAGACCACCGCAACTGGTGACGTGGGCGATGGGCCACTCGACGGCCTTCGGCCGAAACGCCGGCGCCGCCCCTGGATGCCATCCTGCCGCCAGCGATCCGCTCTCCAAAGTCGCAGCGACTATGGTTTCCGGACAACAGATTGACAACACATGACAAATCCAGAGCAGCGTCAACGTTTTGCTGCCAAGTCGGGTCTCTCCGATCGGGGCCGGCGTCCCCGCGCCTTTTCAGCCTGACTCCGACCGCCGGCCGCAGCCCTCTTCTCTCCAACTTGCCCCCACGTGCGCAGCAGTGGGCGCCGGGGCCGCCAAGACTCATGACAAACGAAATCTCTAATCCGGAAGCCACATGGGACCAGATTCGGCAAATTGGCGCACCATGCCGGGGTCCAGCACGCCCCCAGGGCGAGACCCTCCGCGGACAGTCCCAGTACATTCGACGGTGCCACCCGGACGGGCGGCTGGGCGGCCGCTGATAAGGAGCGCGCAAGACTACGGTTTGCTCCCCGCCTGCGGGCCTGCCGGGGATCATGCCCCCGGATGTGGTCGGAAGGAGGATCATGGGCTCGCCCTTGCGATAGGATTCCCGCCTGAAAACGAGCCGAGCTTTTGCCCGTGCCGGGACCGCCCCCTGTGCAACCTGCCATGTCGTCCGGGGCGGGCGTCCCTCAGATTCTGACGATTCTGAAGCGGCGCTGGGCGCCCGTGGGAGGTCACAAGGGCTACAGCCAAGGCCGTATTGGCAAGCGTCTGGCGACGCCATGAACGAAACAATGGCGACCTTCACATCGGGTTCCATCGTGATGAGCGCCACGCTGATCAGCCCCCGCTGTGCCGCAATCCAAGTCCCCCTACCTGGCTGCCGATCGGCTGCCGCGGCTGCCGCGGTGAGGAAGACGCAGGCCAGGAAGGCGGCTCGAGCCCAGTCGGCGCTTGCCACGCCCATCCCCTTGTTTGGTGCACTGCCTTTGTCACCCCGCGGCGGCCCTACCGCCAGAGTTGGAGACCAGAGGGCGGGCGGGGGCGGACGCGCCGGAGACCGTGGCTGCTGGGCACTCATCCGCCATCCACATTACAGCGCCTATTGCTAAATACTTCAGCGGGGACGCCCAGCATGGAGCCCGTAAGGCTATGGCCTGCTGGCCCTTTGGCAGCCGATGTGCACTTGGGCCGTTTGCAGGATACGCAGGCCAGACGCAAGGCGCATCAGCTACCCATCAGTCGCGATGACGGGTGGCGTACTTCTTCTCACACCCCTCCCACCCCAACCTGAGGCCTTCGTCCACCCTCAAATTTCGAAGTGTCATCATCAATTGGATCATTGGGCACCAGTCACCATCCCGTGTGTGCCGCAGCGGTGCCTCCCCGAATGTGAAGCGCAGACGCTGCGAATGACGAGTGCAGGCGTTGCCGGGAATGCATGGTACCCTGCGCGTAAGAAGATGTGCTCGCAAATGACATCGTGCACAAGAATCACTTCACAGGTCGACATCGCTGTATCCCTGTGAAGTTCAACTTCCTATATATGGACGGGTCAACCAGGTGGGGCGCGGCGACAATTGTTTAATACACTCCCCGGCTTGAAATTCCTCTTGGTCTACAATTTGTCGCGATGCACCAGAGACAATTCAATGACTGATGGTCTGCTATTGGGTGCACATCGGCAACATGGTTGAGCAGCCGTGCCGAGCCGTATTTTTGAGCCAGGCTGGACAATTGTTCACAAGACGACTTGGTGAAACACGGAAAACACCCGTGCTGTACAATGGCGCTTTGGGCACCACCTGCAAACACATTGAGAGCCTCCAAAAACTAATGAGCATTTTCCCCGTTTTTGAGTTGCAGGCCCATCGGGCCCAGTTGCCGTTCTTGGCAGTTGTTTCATCCCTTCCTGGAGTACTTTGCAAGCACAGCACGGCGATTGCGTTACAATGTACCCCGGCTGTTCAATCCATGCCGTACTTCCTGCCAACTCTGCACAATCCTTTTGGCGTGGACTAGTTGCTTCTAGATGCGTCAAGTGATCTATTCTGAAGCCCTATCGCAATGACTGATCACCTGATCCACCGAATTGTTGGTCTTGTATGATAATCTAGCTTTCAATTCGACACACATTCTATCGTGCGCAGCACATTAAATGCACGGGTGGCTGTGCTGCATAAACACCGGCCTAGAGTCATCGCTCAGCAAAATATATGTGGCGAAAATCGATTCACGTTGCCTGCATTGGCGGCTGCCTGATGCTTCCTCATTTGCCTCACAGACCCTTTTCCAAGTAACCTCATCGGAATTAGTTTTGAGGCCACGAAACTGTAATCTATGGGCTACCACAGATTTGTGGCCGCAAGATTTCATTCCAACGTGTTAATAAGTTCTCTCAAAGGAAAACCATGCCACCTGCAAGCTGCTCTGGGGAGCCCATTCTGTGACAGAAACGCTACATGTAGGTGCTCGCAGGTGATAACCGTTCACGTTTCGGCGATTCCCCCCCCCCCCAAAGTACACCCCTACTTCAATGCACTATAGCGAAAGATCTTGATACTCAGGCCCAACATAAGTGATGAACCGTGAAGGCTATCTACGGAAATGCAGGCCGCCGAATTGCACACGTTGCAACATACCGCATTCCCACACACGTACGTGCGCACATTGCGCACTGTGTTCAACACTCGAGATCGAGGTGAGCCCAAGAACGTTCTGTTGGTGGACAGCTTTGCTTGGTGCTTTCTGGGCAACTCAAAGGTGGTTGCTCACTGGCGCAGACAGGTATCGTGGCGAAGAGGATTTAGATACAAGTTATATCTATCTTATATCTATCCTATATCACCATTATATCTATCTTATGTCATATAACAAAGCCATGCTAAAAAACTCGTGCCGCCGAGCTCTGCCCTGGAATTCAACGTTGTCCACGTGCGGACAATTTACATCAATAGCACAACTCCCTGGCCTCAAATTCTCGTGGTTTGGAACAGAACCAACGGCTGTCTTCCCTGGGTGAGTCGCCCTGCAGGGGAGCCACCTGAACACATAGAAAGTCAGCCGCCTCTTTGGGAGTGAATGAATGTTGAGCGACCAGATGTTCTTGCGCATTCATGTCACGACATGCACATTTTGATCAGCGCTAGTTTATGAGCTGCTGACCAGGGAATAGGCACTGGGCAGTAGCGCCATCCAGGCTTGTTTCTGTTGGCCGCTCTCCTTCAGCGCCCATGGTCCTGGGCTGCGTCTGAACGTGTGGGCTCAAGGCCCGAGATTCAATGGCACCCGAGGCCTCCGTTCTCGTGCACGCCTTGGACGGGTCTTCCCTGTCGGTCGGCGGCCTCCCGCCCAACGCCTGCCCAAAGACCGCCACGCATATTGTTCGCCCCGCTCCACTTCGTCGCCGGCCCTGCCCAAGTCTACAACGTCCACAGTCCACAATGTCCTCTGCCTCCGCCCAGCACCCTGACGCGAAACTCCGTGCTGCCCGTACGCCGGGCCGTACATTGCACCGTCCCCCCTGAGTCCCGTGGCAAAGAGTCCACGTGATTCACCCCCGCCCAACCTCCCACCAGCCGCCCAACCCCTTCCACCCGAACACCCAAAGGCGAGCGCGGTGCGCACCACGCCCACCGCCCCGCCACGCCTGAGCGCCGCCGCGGCCGCCGCCCAGCCACCCCGGTTTCGGGCGGGGGGGCGAGGCGGCCCAGCGGCGGCCCATGGCGAACGACATCCTCGCCCGGCTGGGCGGTCCCGGAGGGTCCAAGGCGGAGGGCGGGGACGGCTGTGAGCACTACCGCCGGCGGTGCCGGCTGGTGGCGCCCTGCTGCGGGGAGGTGTTCTGGTGCCGGCACTGCCACGACGCGGCAAAGAACGACGGGGAGGCGGTGAGCGTCTTTCGGTGATTCTGGTGGCGAAGTTGGGTTCCATTTTCTGGGTCGTCGCCGTGGAGGTTTGATTCGATGTCAGAAACAGCGAGAAGCCGCGCGTCGATTTTTGCCCTCGGGGTGGCGGCGACGCGCTCTGCGCTGAGCGACGGGCTCGGTCGTCGCGCATCCGAACAATCCCGCGCTGTTTTCGTCCTTCCTCGAGCCCCTGGCGTTGGCACCTTGGCCGCAGCCCCGCGCCTTCGGTTTTCCCCGCCCACCGGCGGGCGCAGTCCCAATTTCAGTCCCTTCCCAGCATGCTCGGCCTCCTGCGCCCGTCGACAAGCGCTCGATCGCCCGCAGCCCCGGTCGTCGGCCATCGCGCAATCCCCCACGCGGATCCCCCCCAGAATGGGCGCATGCCTCGCTGCTGTGCGCGGCGCTCCGCTCTGCGCTCTTTCCCCGTCTCTCTGAGCCACTTCCTCGTCATCTCCTAAAGTGCGGAAAGAAGCATTGGACGGCATTCTGGCCTGGGAGGGGAGCGCCCACTGCACGCCAATCATTTCTACCCCGTTCAAACACTTGTCGGATATGTTTGTGGGGGCCGGCAGGACGCCAAGCGCAGGCACACACTCGACCGGCAGGCGGTGAAGGAGGTGGTCTGCGCCCCCTGCGGCGACCGCCAGCCCGTGGCCCCGCGCTGCAGGACCTGCGGCGTGGCATTCGGCGCTTACACCTGCATGGTGTGCAACTTCTTCGACGACGACACTGCCAAGGAGCAGTTCCATTGCGCGGGCTGTGGGATATGCAGGGTGGGCGGCCGGGAGAATTTCTTCCACTGCGACACGTGCAACTGCTGCTACACCAAGGACATACAGGTGGGTGGAGTGGCTGGCTGTGTGGGGTTGAGGGAGGGGTTGGGAGTAAGACTTGTTACAAAAGAGAAAGAGAAACATACAATGGGCACTCCCTCCTAGGCAAGGGGGTTGGGGTTGGGGCCTGGTTTGTGTCAATATGTTACAATCGCCGAAACCACAGGTCATACAAGGGAGCACCCCCTCCTAATTAAATGTACGCAAGGCCTTTTCCATGCTGTGAACAGTGTGTGTGTGTGTGTGTGTGTGTGTGTGTGGTGCTGGTGGTGGTGGGGACTGGGGAGTAGTCTGGCTTGAACTGAGTAAGCCCCTGGGCCACAAGACTGGCCCTTTGCGTGCTGCGGACGATGTGGGCGCATGTGTAACCAACAGTGAATGAATGCATCGACTGCAACAACGTGATGAACGACACACCAGTCAATGCATACGTCTCCTGTGGACGCAGATTATCAGCTGTTCGAGTGGTCCACATGGACATCACAATGCTTAGCAGCATTCATCCACAGCGCGTGTATGTGCCCGATGGCTCGCAGCTCCTCATGCCATCCACGCGATCGCACAGACAGTGCTGGGGTCTTGTTGTGGACAGCCCCAGGCTTGGGGATGGGTGCTCATGCCCTAATAATGAACAACCTCCTTGTTGTGCATGCCTTTCTTTTCTTTCCTCTCTTCTCTCTGGGCTGGGTGGTGATCTGCGGAGGTTTCCTGTGGCCCTGGATGGGCACACACACGTTGGAATGTTGAAACATGTCAAGGTATTGTGTTTGTCTATTACAAGGCTCTGTGCTGCAGTGAATACACATTTCTCCGGCTCACCATTGTGAAACCTCACTGATGGCATCGATCAAATTCCAATAAAGCACTGCCACTGCACCCATTAGGCATTGTCAGGTGCCATTAGCATCTGCATGTGTTAGTACTTGTTTCGAGAGCACTGTAAACACAGGCAGCACTCAAACAGGTAGTGGTGCCTGCTGCCAAAAGGCAAAGGCCATCCCAGCGAGTGTTAAACATGCCAAATGTTGATAGTCGCCACTTCAGAAGAAGCACCAGCTGTTGCCAACGACTGTACTTGAACGATGAGGATGGTCCAATTGATCATCCTCCTTGTTTGCTCCACAGGGAAGCCACGTCTGTGTGCAAAACAGCATGCACCGCAACTGCCCGGTGTGCTACGAGTATTTGTTTGACTCCAGACGGAATGTGTCTGTGCTACGGTGTGGCCACACAATACACAAGGAGTGCCTCGATGAGCTGCTGACCCACAGCCAGAACTGCTGCCCACTGTGCAAAAAGACGGTGGGAGACATGTCAAGTACATGGAGGAGGATGGATGC